ACAGTTGCTTTTTGCTGATGATACTGTGCTTATGGGAGATTCTAAAGAAAAATTGCAAAGGTTAGTGGATGAGTTTGGGAGTGTGTGTAAAGGTAGAAAGTTGAAAATGAACATAGAAAAGATTAAGGTGATGAGGGTATCAAATGATTTAGATAAAGAAAAATTGGATACCAAATTGGGGAGGAGTATGGAAGAAGTGAATGTTTTCAGATATACATGTACTTGGGAGTTGATGTGTCGGCGGATGGATTTATGAAGGATGAGGTTAATCATAGAACTGATGAGGGAAAAATGGTGAGTGGTGCATTGAGGCATATGTGGAGACAAAAAATGTTATCTATGGAGGCAAAGAAGGGAATGTATGGGTGTGAAGCTTGGGTTGTGAATGCAGCAGCGAGGGGGCAGTTGGAGGCAGTGGAGATGTCCTGTCTAAGGGCAATGTGTGGTGTAAATATTATGCAGAAAATTTGGAGTGTGGAAATTAGGAGAAGGTGTGGAGTTAATAAAAGTAATAGTCAGAGGGCTGAAGAGGGGTTGTTGAGGTGGTTTGGTCATTTAGAGAGAATGAATCAAAGTAGAATGACATGGAGAGCGTTTAAATCTGTAGGGTAAGGAAGGCGGGGTAGGGTTCGTCCTCGAAAAGGATGGAAGGAAGGGTAAGGGAGGTTTTGTGGGCGAGGGGCTTGGACTTCCAACAGGCGTGCATGAGCGTGTTCAAATGGAGACGAATGGTATTTGGGACCTGACGATCTGTTGGAGTGTGAGCAGGGTAATATTTAGTGAAGGGATTCAGGAAACTGGTTATTTTTATATAGCCGGACCTGAGTCCTGGAAATGGGAAGTATAATGCCTGCACTCTAAAGGAGGGGTTTGGGATACTGGCAGTTTGGAGGGATATGTTGTGTATCTTTATACGTATATGCTTCTAAACTGTTGTGTTCTGAGAACCTATGCAAAAACAGTGATTATGTGTGAGTGAGGTGAAAATGTTTGAATGATGATGAAAGTATTTTCTTTTAGGGGATTTTCTTTCTTTCTGGGTCACCCTGCCTCGGTGGGAGACAGCCAACTTGTTAAAAAAAAAAAAAATTATTATAATCATAATAAAAATAGAAGCACTAAACCCATAAGGGTCATGAATTGCTATATACAGAGTGAGGACATATGAAAGGAATATTTGTCTACAGTTATCCTCCAGCGTTTGACTAGAGAAAACGTAATTCTTCCGACACTCCTACCAAGCCGCTTTGTAAACAAATCTCATATTTATGTCAATTTTTATTCTGTGGGTGTATGTATAATGTTGATATGCTATGTAACATGTTTCTTATATAATTTTGAAGAAAATATCATAGATGGATTAATGAAAATGTCTATATTAACATAAAATAAGACACTTAATGTGCCCAAGAGAGATCATTATTACGTATATTTCTATGGTGTCATGAGTAGAGAGACTCTTAGTGATTTTAATGTGTACCTACATGCCAGCACAGTGTGTAAGTATATTTAGGTACAGGTACACATAAGCATAATTATCAGAGTACATATAAAATACACAATAACTTTAAAACACTTGAAATTTTGTAAAGTTTCCAGACATAATAGATGTGCTCACGGAGAATGTAAATAAACGGGGTGGGGCAAGCCGTATTTGAAAGACCGCATGCCATATAGCAAATTTTGGTCCTAATTTGAAATCACCGTATTAGCGGAACGCTGTAAGGCAAAAACGCCGTAAGGCAAAACGCCGTAAAGCAAGGCCCTACTGTATAGTGTAAACCCCTGCATTGACTGGTTCATGGTGCTTGGATTTTGTCCTGGTTAGATACTTTATTGAAGTGCTGGATGTGATGGTGACTCTAGTGTTAGCTTGTGCTAGTACATACTTTAGAAATGTTCAATGCAACCTATTTGTCTAACCTATTTTAATGCTACCCAAGTAATAGCTTTTATACGCTTCCTCATGTACAAGTTGAATGTTCTACCATACTGTATTACTACTACCACTAGCATTACACCTCACTCTATGCCTATACATACCCTCCGTGTCCATGTTTTGTTTGTAACGGCTTGAAGCTCCTGGAGAGCAAAACGTTGCCACAATAAAATGTCACATTAACTGCATTTGTGTGGTTTTTACTTAACAAAATCAGAAACTCTCTGCCAGAAATCTCCAGTACTGTCTCAGCCAGTATTTTCAAAACTATCATTAAAAAACGCCTTCTCTTCCTAACGTATCCCAGTATCAGCTAAATATACGAAAACTACATTTCCATTTTCCCAATGTCATGAACACATGTAAAACAATATAATCTTATTCTCAATATTGGTAACCCTCCCAAACATAAAACACAGACTGTGTCCACTTTATGTTAATATGCTAAAATGCTCATCACCTATAATCATAATCAAACCTGTAATTCCTTATCCCTTTGACTGTCACAACCACAAATCCTGAAGTGTCTCCTGGTGTCGAAAAATTTAAAAAAAAAAAAAAAAAAAAAAAAAGTTCCTTAAGAAATGATACAGATAATCTTTACCCGATGGTAATGACACCAAAAGTAGGAAATTTGATAAAAAATTTACAGAATTATGCTCCCGCTAAGTTAGCGATCTCGGTGATATATACGCATCTGTGATTTCGCTGACTTTGAGCCCTATTTTCAGCCAATTCCATTGTTCCAGTCGACCAAACTCATAGCTATTTCTTTAGAACTCCAATTTTTCTATCAACTGAGTACATGAAACTGCCCATTTACCAATTTCAACTACCCAATACAGTGGTCAGAAATTAGCAATTTGGCCAATTTCACGCAAATTAAAAAAGATGCCAATTTCAAAATAGGGTCCAGAATAAACAATGCAGGCATTTTGGCACTTAAATAACATATCCTTTGTTCATCAGTTATGTCTCCAGGCCACTCTTATATTACGCTTGCTTTCTATTTTGAATTTTTATTCATACAAAAAATAGAAGATTTACTGTTATGCAGACTACTGCATTATTGTAAAAATGGTATGAATAATATCAGCACATTTGTGAAAGAACATCATACCCGTGTGATTTGTTTACTCTTGAATATCGGCAAAAATCGAACATTTCTGCTATTTTGAGCTCAATTTCAAGGTACTTTTAGTCGTAAACCATTCAAAATCACCTCTATTTCTGTAATATATCTTCCATTCTATTAAATGAGACCAAGAAAATGAGAATATGACTATAAATACCGTACAAAAATACACTGCAAAATCTCTGTTTTAAACCAAAAACACAGTCGGAGTTTTTTTCTCATTATGCACTGCGTGCTGCAGGATTTTTTTTATACTGCACACACTCACCACTCAGACCCATTCTCTCATAAGTAGGCCTACCAGCTTTCTCCCGCAAGATTGGAAGCCACTAGAATTTTGGCGTAGTATTTACGGGACTGACACTGGCTTTCAAGCTGTAATATTACAGGACCGACAGTGAATGGGTTAATAGCGTAGGTCTGATGGCTGAATGGGAGGTGAGAAGACATACTTGCAAAATACAGGAGCTATGAATTGGCACAAAATAGGATTTAAAGTGGGCAAAAGTGCAATTGCATAAAGTGCTCCCAACTTCCAACTATGAGTTTTGAGTAATTCCTCACGTTTTATGTTAAATTTTGATTTTTTTCTGTTGTTACCTTCAGAAAAAATGTTCTTTAGAAAATAAAATTATTTTTTAAACAAAATGCCAACAGAGAAGGGGCTTTCACTTTGGGGTGCTAACAATTTAACCCTTTCAGGGTCCGTCCCGTAGATCTACGGCTTTACGTTCAGGGTTCAAACCGTAGATCTACGCCATGAGCTAAGCTCACTCTGATCAACTGTGAGTGGTACATTCGGGCCAAGATATGAGAGAATACATCTATGTGGTATGTGTGCACCACATAAAACAAATCCTGCAGCACACTGTGTATAATGAGAAAAAAAAAAACGAGACCATGATTTTCGATTAAAACAGCGACTTTGCAGTGTTTTTTCGTATGTTTTTTATAGTTGTATTTGCGATTTCTTGGTCTCATTTGATAGAATGGAAGACATATTACAGAAATAGAGATGATTTTGATTGGTTTTAGCATTGGAAATGGCTTGAAACTGAGCTCAAAGTAGAAGAAATGTTAATTTTTGCCGATGTTCAGGAGTAAACAAACAACCTCACACGTCTAATACACACCAGCTGGTGGGTCTAATATACATTCACAAATATGGTGATGATATTTATACAATTATTACAATATTGCATAACAGTAAATCTTCTATTTTTTGGTGTGAATAAAAATTCATTATGTGAATAAAAAATCAAAATGGAATTTATTTGTAAAGCCTCAAAACATAACTAATGAACAGAGGAAATGCTAGTTTAGTGCCAGGAATACCTACATTGTTTATTCTGGACCCTATTTTGAAATTGGAATATTTTGAACTTTGTGTTAAATTGGCCAAATTACCAATTTCTGATCACTTTAATTTGTAGTTGAAACAGTTGACTTGGCGATTTCTTATGCTCAATCAATAGAATAGAAGTAATACTAGTGAAATAGCTAAGAATTTGGTTGACTGGAATAATGTAATTGGCCTAAAATGGGAGTCAAAGTTGGTAAAATCGCAGATTCGTAAATATCGCTGACACATCAAAATTCGCAAAGCATAATTTCGTCAATTATCCATCAAATTTCGTACTTTTTGTTTTATTACCTTCACAAAAAGATTCTCTACCATTTCATAAGAAAAAATAAAAAAATTTTTTTTTTGAAAATTCTTGGACACTGGGGCACCACTTCAGATTTTGGCATTGGACCCTGAAGGGGTTAATAGTTAAGGGCTAATATACTAGTGCAATGTTGAAGCTAGGGCAGATTATAAAACAAACCAGAGAGGGCATTCAAGGTAATACCCAGCAAAGATAATTCTATGAATATATTTAATAGTTAAGTATCTGGTTAGATACATAACTGATTCATACTTACTAGTTGCATTAGCTGTTGTTTTAATGTAGCGTATGGAAGAATCCTTCAGTTCTCTGATAAGTTCATTATCTTCATTCATTTCAAGTGGATGTGGTCTGAATACTAGCTCTATCTCACCAGATTCACTGGGTCCTTCAGCTTCTTCCCCTGGGTTACCATCATTACTCGAGCCTGCCCCAGACTCATTTTCAGACGTTCTCCGAGGCTTTTTCACCCTGGGCCCGACTGTTGAAGATGCAGCATTTGTTGGAGCAGTGGCATTAGTAGCTGCTGCAGCATTCGTTGGAGTTGTGGCATTTACACTGCTAATATTAGTAGTTGTCGGGGTACTTGGAGGTTCACTGGGAGTGGGAGTAGAGGGTGCTGATGGAGTGGGTGTCGGTGTGGTGCCTTCATCTTGCATGGCTTTACGATTCTTCTGGCGACTCTGGATCTGAAGCTTGATGCCTTCTTCAATTGACGTAATCAGAGAGGCATGATTATGATTTTTATTAAGCTTGGCAAATACTCGTTCCTGATGTTGCTCGTATTCATCACGACTTGGGTATATCTTGGAAATCAGTGTGTCAAAATTTGGATCAGGTCGTAATGACCTCTTCGATACTAGTTTTTTACGGCACGTTGGACATTCTTTGTTACCCGATCTTAATGCTGTGATGATACATTCCTGAAAGTGAAAATATTTTATTAAAACCATGTCTTTAACAACCTAGTACAGTACAGCAGACCAATCATAAAATTACTCCTAAAGTAATAACTGTAATCTACATATACAGTGGACCCCCGGTTAACGATATTTTTTCACTCCAGAAGTATGTTCAGGTGCCAGTACTGACCGAATTTGTTCCCATAAGGAATATTGTGAAGTAGATTAGTCCATTTCAGACCCCCAAACATACACGTGCAAACGCACTTACATAAATACACTTACATAATTGGTCGCATTCGGAGGTGATCGTTATGTGGGGGTCCACTGTATAGCGGGTGAATAGTGCTGACTGAATTCACAAATTGACGTTATCCTGTTTCAGATATTGAGTTGATAGTGTGAATGATGAGTGATATCTGAGCACCTCTGGCAAGACAACTACTGAATGATTGATGGTGTGTGTGTGTCCACTGGGCCACTAGTACAGTGGCCCCCCGGGTTTAACTATTTTTTCACTCCAAAGAAATGTTGGGGGCCCCATTACTGCCCGGGAATTTTTGTTCCCAAAAGGGAAATATTGTAAGTAGTTAGTCCTTTTCAGCCCCCCAAAAACAAAACACGTAAAAAAACCGAAATTACTAAATACCCCTTAATAATTGGTGGCATTCGGAGGTAACCCGTTTGCGGGGCCCCACTGAATAGGGTTTTTCTCTAAAAAGTTCTTACTGAACAAAGCACAAAAGTTTACAAAAAATTCATTTCCCAAAGGGTCAATAAAAAAAACCCCGGATAAACCCAAAAACCTTGACAAAAAAAGTGAAGGCTTTCCCTTTTTTGTGGTCTTTTGTATTCTTTAGCATTTTCGGGGCATATTGGACACATGATTTTCCGAGTGAAGGGAGGGTGGGGAAAACCGGCAAATTTCTGTATTGTCATTTAAGTTTTTTTGCGGTTTTTCTTTGTATTTTCAACAACGAGATTTCCCCGGGAAATTTATTAACAGCATTTTTTTGTATTTCATGACTTTGTACTAAAACCCCTCCCCAAAAATTTAAAAAATAATCTAGTTTAGGGTTTTTACTCCTGTCCCTTTGGGAAATTACAGCAAGAAACCCAAAAAACTTCTGAAATATTTTAAACCTATTACCCATCAATAAAAAAAAAAAAAAATTCCCTGGAAAAATAAGATTTTTAAGACCCTCATTTTTCAGAAATTAAAACTTTTGGGCTGCATGAACAAAAAAACAGAACAAATTTTTTACAATGGGGGAGGGTTTATTATTACCCTGCATACAGATGAAAAACCCAAAAAACCCCCATTTTGGGTTACTGGGGTAAAAACCGAAACCCCTCTATCCTATTCAATGTAATTTTCATTTGACTTATGTACCCTGCCCCTTTAATGGTAGACAGAAACCACCCGGGGAAGTATTAACCCGTCCGGGCCAGATGACGTAAAAAAAAAAACTGTAACTTTTTTGGCATGAGGGTTTGGGAAATTGCGGGTTTTTTTTTTTGTCTCAAAAAACACCCCCTAAGATAAAAAGGGGATATCTTGCTACTCCCTACTTACATTTTGGTCACACTTCACAGAAAACCCCCCCAATGAATATAAAAATTTTACATAATCTAGGTTTTTTTTTTTTTTTTCTAAATAGCTCTTGTTTTTTTTTTATTTTTTTAAATTGCCCAAAATGGGGAAGTGGAAAAAAATTCTTTCCTCCCTTAAGCCATGCGTGTCGTATGAGGCGACAAAAAAGCCGGGAGAAATTGGGCTAGAAACCCCCTTCTCCTGTATAAAAATTACTAAAAAAGGAAGAAAAAAAACCTTTATAAAACTGGGTTGTTTAAAATGTGGTGGATGTAGTGGGGAAAGACAAAAAACAGATAAATTGCTGATTTTTATGAATGAAAAGAATTTGGATGTCCTGGCCCAAAGGGAAAAAACAAAGCGGGGAAGGGGTAGGAGATTTTTTCAGTGGGGGGAAAAAAATTTTTAAAAATTTTCTAAATCGGGTTTTTTAAGAGAAAAAGGGGGGGGGTAGCAGAAATTTTTAAATGATCGGGTTATGGAAGGAGAAAAGGGGGGAAAAATGAATGTGAAAATTCAAAAATTTTATGGGGAAATTAAAAGAAAAGGGTTTTGGTTTGCGAGAAAGTGGGTCAAAATAAGCGTGTTTGCACCTGGAGAAAAAAGAGGAATGCAGGGGAGAGAGGAGTTTTGGGGAGATTTTAAGGGAAAATGTATAGGAGCCTTTAAAAAACCCAAAGGGGAGAGAAAATTTTTGGTTGGGGGACTTGAATGCAAAAGTAGGAAAGAAATTTTTTAGAGAGGGTGTGGTAGGAAAAAAAAAAAAAAAAAGGTTTGGGGTCCCGGGTGTAAATGAAAAGGGGACCCTTTGATTAACTTTGTAAGAAAGGGGTTTAGTTATAGGTAATACCATTTTTTAAGAAAAAGAGGATAAATAAGTATACAATATGATGTGGGGGCGAAAGGGGGGGGGGGGACAGTAGTTTTTTGGGTTATGTATTGTAGATAAAAGACTTTTTAGTAGACTTCAGGATGTACTTTTTTATAGAGGGGCCACAGAATTTTTCAGTTCACTTTCTAGTTGTAGCTAAAAACCTGAGAGTAAAGGTAGTTTGGATAAAAGGAAAAATAGAAGCATCAGGGAAGAGAGAGGTAAAGGGGTTTAAAACTAAAAGAGGAGGCGGGGTTTGGGGGGAAAGATAAAAACAGCTATTGGGGGATAGATGGGCTAATGGGGAGCATAGGCAATGGGGTCGAAAAAATTTAATGGGGTTGGGTTTTAAAAAAAAAGTAGGGGTTTAGAGTGTTCAGCAAAGTTTGGGGTTTACGGGGAAAGGGGGTGCGGGGGGAAGAGGGGGATTGGGGGAAGGAAAAAGAAAAAGAGATTTGAAAGGGAGAAAAAGTTAGCATATGAAAATTTTTTTTTACAACAGTAGGAAGGGGGGAAATTGGCAAGGAGGGGAAAAAATATTTGGTGAAAAAGGGGAGAAGTTAAGAGAGTGGGGGAAAGCAATGTAAAAAGAGAGCAAATAAGAGGGGGTGAGATGTTATAAAAAATTTTTGGGTTGAAAAAAAGAAAAAGTTTTGGAGTGAGATTAACAAGTTAAAAAAGGGCCTGAGAACAAATGGATTGTCAGTTAAAAAATAGGGGGAGGGGTTTATTAAATGGGAGTTAGAGGTTTGGGAAGATGGAAGGAATTTTTTGGGGTTTTTGGGTTAAATGTTTGATGAAGATAAGGGAAGCTTTTTGATTTCGTTTTTATGGGGCAAGGAGGAATAACACCCTTGTGGGAGTGAGGAAAGCCATTTGTGAGGTTGGGGGAAGTTCGTGAGGCGTGGGTAAAAAAAAAGGGGGGTTAAGGCACCCGGGTTTGATGGGATAAGTAGAAATTTTAAAAAACCAGGGGGGGATTTTGTTTTGGAGTGGTTGGTGAAATTTTTTTTAAATAAATGTATGGAAAAAAGGGGGGGGGGTACCTGGGTTTGGCAGAGAGCATGCATATTTCCTTTGTAAAAAGGGAAAAAAGGGGAAAAAGGGGGAATTTAAAAAAAAATTATAGGGGGATAAGCCCTTTTTAAAGTGTATGGAAAAAGGTGTATGGTAGAGTTATAATTGAAAGAATTAAGATTTAAAAACGGGAATAGGATAGCAAAATGAACAAGGAGGCTTTGGGAAAGGTAGGGGGGTGGTGGCCCAGGTGTTTACAGTAAAACCCATATAAGTGAACAGTATTTTAAAAAGGCTAAAGAGGTTTTTGGTGGCATTTATGGATTTGGAAAAGGGCGTATGACGGGGTTGGATAGGGGGGCAATGGGGCAGATGTTGCAAGTGATGGGGTGGGGGTAGGTTACTAAAAAGCAGTAAAGGGTTTTTTTTTACGAGGATATGGGTCAATTGGGAGTTTGTAGGAAAGGGGGAAATTTTTTTCCCCAGTAAAAGTAGGCCTTAGAAAAGGGGGATGTGTGATGTCACCTGGTTTTTTAATATATTAATGATGGGGTTGTAAGAGAAGTAAATGCGGGGGGTTTTTGGGAAAAAGAGGCGTGGAGTTAAAAGATAAGAATCACACACAAATTTGGGATTGTTTTCACGGGTGCTTTTTGGGTTTGTTTGACACTGGCTTTTGGGAAAATTTGAAGAAAATTTGGCAGAGTTTTGGTGGAGGAATTTGGAAGGGTTTGGGGAAAAAGAAAAAAAATTAAAGGTGAATACGGGGAAAGAGAAAGGGTTTTATGGGGATAACAAAAAGATTAGGTGTTAAAAAGATTGAATATCGATTGGAGGGGAGGAGTTTGGAGGAGGTGAAAAATTCAGAAAAATTTGGGAATGGGAGGACGTGTCAGGGAAATGGGTCTATGAAAGATGAGGTGAATCATAGAATTGATGGGGGGAAAAAAAAGGATGGTGCATTAGGAGTCTGTGGAAAAAAAGAACTTTGCCCCTTGGGGCAAAGGGGGGAATGTATGAGAGAATTTTTTTAAACCAACGTCTTTTTTGGGGTTTAAAGCGGGGGGAGAATGTTGCGCGGGGAAAAAGGCTGGAGGCAGGGGAAAGATGTCATGTCGGGAGGGAAATTGTGGGGTGTGAATTTTAATGCAAAAAATTTGTATTTTTTGGAAGTTAGGAGGGGTGCGGGATTCCCAAAAAAACTTTTGTCCAGAGGGCTGGGAAGGGTTGTTGGGGTGGGTTGGGAAACATGTAGAGGAATGGAGCAAAACGAATGATTTCCCCAAGAGTGTACCCAGTCTGTAGTGGAAGGGGAAGGCGGGGTGGGGTCGGCCTGGGAAGGGTTGGAGGGGGGGGGGAAAAGGGAAAGGTTTTTTTGTGCGAGGGGGTTTGGACTTCCAGCGGGCATGCGTGAGCGTGTTTGATAGGAGTAAGGGAGACAAAAAAGGGTTTTTAAAATTTCTTGACGGGGCCTGTTGGGGGTGTGAGCAAATTTAACATTTTTTAAAGGGGAAATTCAGGGAAACCGGCAGGCCGGCTTGAGTCCTGGAGAGGGGAAGTCGTGCCTGCACTCTGAAGGAGGGGTGTTAATTTTCCCATTTTTAAAAACTGTAGGGGTTAAACCCACCCTTCTGGAAAGGGGAAACAGTAAAGGAAAGTGAATGTGGTGAAAGTTTTTTTTTTTTCCCCGGGCCCAAAACCCTGCCTTGGGGGGAATCGGCCGGTGTGTTTAATAAAAAATAAATAAAAAATAATTTTTTTATTATATTGGTGGAAAAAGGGAAAATGGCAGAAATCAAAAAAAGGTAAACTGGATCCTACCCTTTTTGGAGTGGTAGATCACCCCAGACTTTGATGGATATGTGGGAGTGGCTCCCAAAAGCAACAGTCTGGCTGACTTGGCAATCAACAGAAAAAACCCGGGGGGGTTTTTTTTGGGAAGGGGGTACCCAAAGCTTCTTTTTTGGGGCACTTTTATTTAACGGGTTATTTTTAAAATTCTAATTGTTTAATTACAAAAATTATTTCAAGGAGTTTACCCCACTCGCCTCAGGGGGAGTTTTTAAACCCTGCTGTTTTAAACTACTATTTGAAAAAATTTCCAAACCATGACTTTGTTAAATGACTAGTACAAGTGATGTAATGGGGTTCCACAAAACTATTTTGTTTTTGAAAATTTTCTAGGGCCTTTAAAAAAACCCCGCAGTCAGTATTTTTGACCTTGAAACAACTCATTGGGTTTTTTCTACAATTTTTTCCGGGCCCTTTAAAAAAATTTAAAGGGCCCAAAAGAGGGTTTTTTCCAAAAAAGTCCATCAGGGTTTAACTACACGGTGTAACTTTGTTTTTTGATGAAACTTTTTGTCTAATTCCCAAGCAAAGTAAACAATAAAGAAAAAACCCTGATTTTTCCCTTTCCCCAAAGTTGCCCTCCCAGCAGTATGTAAACTGCTTTGGGAAAATGCCCTTATTCATCCAAATTTATTACAATTTCTTTAATATTAACAGTGGAATTCAGCTAAAAAAAGAAACACCATGTAGTTTTAAACCA